ATTAGAAATACCTGCATGTTTACCTAATAGAGCAAATAGAACATCAACCGAATATCGAGATATATTCGCAAACTACTTCAGTACCGATGGTCGCTTGCCCTGGCACAATTTGTAAATATATGGGTGCTCGCCGCGAGCCGCCATTGCGCGCCGTAAACAAAATGGCGTCGAACGCACATGCGGTATGAGTAATCTTTTTAAAAAGTTATTCCAATCATTACGAAAACCTGGGAAATTTTAGCAAATAATTGTCAAAACTCATGTGCAAAGCGAAAAATAGTAGAAATAAAATAGTTATACTTTTGACAATTACCTATTTGCTAAAATTTCTTAGATTTTGAATGAACGGAACAACTTTAAAAAAAATCACTCATGTCACATATACGTGTCGAATGCTACTACAGCACCTGCTGCGTTTATTGTAGTTCATCGCATTATTAATTTACTTAGGCATAATAAAATAAAATACTAACCAAGTTCTGCCTTTTCTTTATCTTCCATGGATTCACCGCCAAATATATCGACCACTTCAAGCCACAACTGCCGCTTAACATCTTTATTGGAGTAATCATTTGATGCTAAATCCCATAAACCTCTTCTATTTTCAACTTCAATTATGAACCTTTCCGTGTCGAAATTGGCCATTGTAAAATAATCACTCTGTAGCTAGCTACACGTCTGGTCGACGCGGCCGATGCGGTAGCACTGATGAATTTTAATACAGAAGTGATGTTCTCGACGGCCACGATTGGTCGCTGGTCGCGTGGCATCAAATTGGACGCCGCGGCCAACGGTGGCCGCTGGTCGCTGGCCGCTAAGTGCGTAGGGGCTATAGCGATTGCCATATAAAGTCCAGAATTCACTGGCCGCCGCGGCTAGGTCGCGGCGACCATGGTCGCCAGTGCGTAGGAGGCCTTAAGTGTAGACGAGACGTAGGGTGGTAAATAATACACTAAAAATATGGTTACAGATAAGAGATCTTTGTTAATAATGCGGGTAATATAATTATTGTCGTCGCAAATCCGCTTCAACTCGAATTGTGTGAACTTCCTGCCAGGAAATTACTTTCCTTTCAAACAGACAGTTTCCCTATAAGCTTCGCCATTCATTTTTAATTTTAACTCATTCATCAAATGACTGCAATGGTAAGAACAATTACTGGTGTTTAATGGAAGAGGGAAACGTAACAATTTAAAATGGTTAAAATATAAATATTCAAGTATCGCTAGTATAACACAGGGCGCAGATCAAGGCGCTATATAAAAATTGCATTTTGTTTCAATTTATTTTCATAAGTTGACGTATCATACAATAATATGGGTATGATATCAGTAATTTGGTAAGGAGTTAAAACGTACAAAAAAGCCTGGGTGACAATATAAATAACAATTTGGCCCACCCCGATCGAATGTGGTTCGCCCGGATTAGCATAAGAATGCCGCATCACAGACGCCCACGAACCAACACTGTCCTCTTGACTCGTTGAATTTAATTTTGATTTACGCGCATACACAATACGCGAAATATAAGCGATAAAGTAAAGTGGAGGGGCAGACGAACTTATTACTTGTAAAGTCGCCAACTTCTATATTGTAGCTAGCCACTCTGGCTTCGTACTGAATATTTATAATAATAATCTAGTGACCTGAATCCTGACAGCCTTCGAGGCCTAGTTGGTAACGCAAAGTACAGCTCTGACTCTTAGGTTCGTTTCTCATAGATTATTGTTTTTTGAAGTTATACTTCTTTAGGCGCGTTATGAAAAATTGATGAGAGTGAAATTTTACGATGCGCGCACCTATGACACAAAATTGGGAGTGTGATTATAGCGTGCGCACTGCGCAATCTACAAGTAAAAAGAAATAGAATATGCGTGAAGCTAACTTCACGCATATTCTATTTCTTAGCTTAGCAGCTTAACAAGAATTTTGAATGACCATGACATCTGACAATGACATTTGAAACAAATATAGGAGTATTAATTAGTTTTAAAGATTATATACCTAGTTATTTTTATTATACAAGTGCGAATTTTATATTTGCGTCTGAATTATAATCAGAAGTGATTTAAATTGAATATCTAAATCAATACTAATTCATATGATAAAATATTTGTGAAAAAACTGTGCCGAACTTCCTGAGTGCTTCAATACAATTGAGGTTAACTATCCGTATGTATTATCGAGTATTATTGTTGATTAAAACTGAAACATGAACCATTATTCATTGCTTTTGTTTATTGCGTTTGTTACAGCAACTTTTTAGAAATATTCTACGACCCTATATATCAATAATTGAGAACAAAGATTTAAGCACGAATACTAATAAGGAGAAAATGAAGGCTTGGAGCGATATTACAGAGAAGTAAACATTTTAATAAGTACCTGTATCTCAAAAAAATGATTACATTATTTAATCAAAACATGTAATTTTTCAGATTTAATCTAGCAAATATAAGGACAAGAGACAAAAAACAATTGATGAATCAGTGGAAGTGCACTAAATTGAATAAAAAAAAGAGTTGTCATCTTATCGCCGTGAAACATCAAAAACTAGAGGTGGAACAAAGCCACCATCACCTTCTCCAGACACAATGGATATGGCAGAGATTATACCGCAACGGTTTGAAGTAGATTTCAATGAATTTGATTGTGATGGTGTCGAGGTAGGAATGTTAATTATAAATATGATGGTGATGTTCAAGGTTCAACCTCTCAAGCATAGGCACATACTTTATTCCCCTACAGGGTAGTTAGAGATATTGTAATACCTCAAAACATCCATGTTGCTCTTGTAGTACCGAAACTCTGTCCAGCCAGATGTGAGCCCATTCCCACTTATAATGGACAGTGGGTATAATACACCTTAATACCTGAGTGCGAACCACTCACCATGATACTTAAATTAATAGATGTTATTTATATATTTCAGGATATTACAAATAAAATCATTTTGGAAACAATTGCTATCCCAAAAGCAAATAAAGCCAACAATGACAAGGTAATAAATCAGTTTTGACATAACTTGAATACTAAAAATGCCAAACAAAGGTGTGCACAACAGTGACAACATAACTTAAGAATTTCATTATTTTGTAGGATTAAAAAAAGGTTAAAGAAAATCATGTCGAACTGAACAACAAGAATCCCCAAACAACTCAAAAGAAACCTACAAGGAAGACACCGGTATTATATTTAAATTATCTCTATCTCTAAATAGAATAAAAGAAAGTTGCTATCCAGGTCTGTAGCATGTGCTACAAATTATATTATTAACACATTTATATAATTATATTAATATAAATGTGTTAAAAATTTTATAATATGAATTATAAAAAATTTTAAGTTTTGCATGGACAGAGCTTAAATTAATATTCTCTTATTTGTTGCAGAAGCAAGTAGTAGTTTTAGTTTTGGAGAAGCCTCGTAGATGCACAACCAAGTAATGATTAATTTAAAATTACAAACCGAAATTCTGATGAAGACATTAGAGTCACTTAAAAATAAATAGTATAATGAAATAAAAATGTTTTAAAGATAAATAGTGTTTTATTTGTTTAATGTAAGAGAATAATAATAAATATTTATTTAATTAATTTTTCAAATGTAAACTGAACTTTATTGACTTTAATGACTCCTTTTCCAGTCTTTGATTATTTAATTGTAATTAATAATTTGCATGCAATCAAAAACTATTTTTAATAATGCCAAAGAAGTATAACTTCTTACGCGCGTACATAAGTACACGCACCCTTTTTTTTTTTACGGCATTAAACACATACGCATAAGGAATCAAGTCCTCATTGTTTACTATAGTTTAGACTTTAGAGCATAAAACCTTATGAAACCAAGAATATAAAATTTGACTGATTAATTATAACGACTAAGATTAGCAACTGGGTATTTAGACATAAATACTTTTATTTAGCAAATATATTTAATTTGGTATGTCTGGCTGATAACGATAATATTAAAAAGATACTTCAATTAGAGTGAATAAATCGCCTTACATTTTATGGACTGCCGCAAAAAATTAGCGCAAAAAATGGTCCCTTTGAAGCAATAACTTAATTTAAAAATGAGGTAATAATTCACGACACCGCTTTTGGTTGACGTAATTAACTGCTTCTTAAGATTCCTTATGCAAATTTTTGTTTATCTCTTTTTAATATTCAAATTAATTAGGAGAGAACTTTGTGTTAAAACGATATTTATTTATTAAAAAGCTTAGTTTGATGGCCGTCATACACCTTACCAGTCTTTATAATCATTTTTTTTGACATATAAACCTTGACTGCAATTAGTTAAATACAAATCAAGCACACATCCATCCTGAACAACAAAACGCAAAAAACAGGGCGAGTGAGCTCAGCGGTTAATACGTATTTAAGATAATATATTTAACCATATAAAAATAAATGTCCACCTAATAAATCGAATTGGACTTTATCGGGTTTCGAGGCGACAGACAGAAACGATAAGAATGTGGGTCCTCTCGGCTTTATTTAGAACTTTTTCGTTTAGTAATTGTCCTTAGATCCTTGGACGAGTTGTAACAAAGTTGTTTTTCCTTAGTATCCATTTTGGACTTGGGTCGATATAGGTTTGCGACTGTTTGTAATCGGCGTTGCATCTTAATTTAGTTGTCTTGTACTTTTCAGCGCCACGGCGATATAGGTATGTAGGGCTAATATCAAAATACTTCAGATTCTAGTATTATTTTAATATAAAATGTTTTAGAAATGAAGTTTATATTACAGTTCAGATTTTTTTGTACAAGGAGGACAATGTTATTTTATTTAAGTTCTATATAATAATAAATTTTCCATATACTTTTAATTTTATTTTCGTGCTATAAATATATATTAAAGGAGTAACTAGTATATCAAGAGAAATCTCTAAAAAAATAGATTTTTTAAAGGTTGAGAATATATTCACCGATATTAATGACATATCACGTAAATAATTGATAACGCTGTTAAACTAATGATTGTTTAAACTTTATCCACTTACCAAATTAACAAATTCTTGAAAAGTAATGGACGGGCTGCTCGAACTTTTTGCTTTATCCAACAGGATCTGAAAAAAAATGTAATTAGATGCGAAAATTGCCCGATATCCGAATAATTATTAAACAAATGATTTTATTTTTAATGACACAAACACTCAGTATTTGATTATGACCGTGAGATCACACTTTTACTGTTTAATTATGAATAAATCACACGTTTGAATTTAACTTTCATTTTAGGCTCTCATGCCTTAGGTCATATGTAAAGTATTGTCCATAGACATCGAATTCCGTAATCACTTTTACAGCCAGTAGCAGATACATTTCTTATTAGGTACATATTTCATTTTTCTTAGCACGCCTACCAATAAGTATTAGATTGTCAGGAACGTTTTTTCGTTTACCATACAAATAGGTAACTAACAGGTAAGTTAACTGGAGGCAGTGATTTCTTACGATAAAGCAGACAAATTACTTTAAGTAATATTTATTATTTACCTCACGTTTGTGATGCGGCACCTGCGCTATAAAATCGGGATGTTGAAGGGTCTGAAGGAAATCTGGCCACGGGATCTCACCAAAACCCTCCGGATCGAACTGCATAAGAAAATAATAAACAAACCATTAGTATAAAATTCACACCTACGAGATTTGACACGGTCCCGTACAAAAACCAAATTGTGATTTCAAAGGCGCACCCGTGACGCCATAATCACCCGCTATTCCGAGAGTTTGTTATTATGTGTATTATTGTGATAATTTCAGTTCCAAAAAGGAGATGACAAAAAATATGAAGCGCCCCTATCTGCGCAGTGGCACATCTCAATGTCCTCTACGTGACGACACACCGTTTGATCTCCGGCGCTACCGACACACTTTTATCTAATAAAACTTTTTGTTTCTGCTTCTGTACATTTTAATCAAGTAAAAATAGGAATTTCTGGAAATTTGTTTCTTTGTCGTATAAGTCAGTTTTTTGATGTATTCAAGGTACATGTGCAACGATTGTCAAGTAGCCGGGAGACAGGAAAAGCAAGATTGAAGTCTGTAGGAAAACCACGCCCGAATAAACGTGTGACAAAATTATTAATTATTAACAGCATCGTTCATTATATTTTCTAATACGAAAATTATTAATAAACGGTTGTAATAAATCTTCATTACAAATAATTCTATAATACATAATATATGATTATAAATTACTTAATACGACATCGTTAGAATGTTATCGCAAACCCTATTATAAACCTATCCTATATATAATAAGGGTGATACCGTATTATTTATATGTTGCAAAGTTACTAAAAACATAGGTAATTGAAAAATAGATTTTATGTGGCCTGTTGCTCTAATTCAAGAGGAACCTCTAATTTTGGATATAAACGATTTTACTAACTTTATTAAACCTCGATCGATTCCAATAAGAGCCTTTCTTAATATCACTTATGAAAATATCCGTCTAAAACGTAAGTCCAGTTCCAATTTGGTGTTAAATGTCTGTGTATATTTTTAAACTTACCCGATCGAAAAGCAGCCGCCATTTCTGTAACAAGGAATAAATAATAAAATGTAGAACGAATAAAACTTTACAATAAGTGTATGCGTCTCGTAACTTGTTATTACGTTTGAATTATTTGTGTACAAAATATAAGTTTCAACAGGGCCGTCATAACTATCCACTATGATGGACGGTAACGTAATCATACGTTAAAGTTATTTACAAAACCACTTACATCGTGCATCAACTCCCGTCGTATTTCAGCCTCATCGAGCTCGCTACCAAGGTCCGTGTGATCCGTGTCATAGAGGTGTTCGGCCGCCCGTGACAATGAACCAAGCGAATCCCGGGCGGAGGCCAGAGAGCCAGTAACTGTCGGGAGTACCCCAGCCTCAATGCCAGACTCCATTGAGGTATTCGCAGACAGGACAGTGGCGGCTGGGGGGGCGCAAACCTCGCCGCCACCGCAGCCACTGCCCACCCATATAGACATCTTAGAAACATTCACACCACATAATAGTTTACAAATTACCGCATCTCAAGCTTGGACAGATTAAATTGGTCAATTTAAATTTGGAATGGGGAAACTAAGGCACGTGATTGACTTCTGGCACCTGAAAAGAAAAATATTTGGTTTGATAGATTCCTAGAAGTAGGTAGTTTAGCTACTTGAAAAATGAAACTTTTTAAAATACTACAAGTGAAGCGTTTGGATATGTCAATAAATATATAATTAACATAATAATAACAATTATTGTTTTCAGACATTACTCATTGGATGGTAACAAGTAAACTACGACGGTCAATAGTTTTGAGGATAACGTCTTTGAAATCTGATCTAGTATGGAAAAAGTATTTTATTCTGTGTCTGCTGTTAGTAGATAATAATTACGTTGTTTTAAGTCGAATGTTAGTTTACAAAGGTGTGTAATTTATGGGAATAATTGGACCATATATGTTATTGAATATAGTCAATGTTATATTATACTAATATAGTACAAACAGTTAAGAACTGTTTTCATTTAGTAAAAAAGCTGTTTAATTTTTACAATTGTCAAAATACATTGCATTACGTTTTACGATATTTACAGTGAAATCCTTAGAGTAATTAATTATAAATTTAAAAAACAACGAGTTAGTGTTTGATTAGAAGGTTGTAAGTGATTAGCTAATTATGAGCGGTGCGGAATACAATTGTAATCTTATTAACGTTATCACTATTCCTTGTAGGGTGTATTGGTACAAAAGGGCTTCAACCCTCAGCCCGTTGCCATAGCAACGTGTCGCAGTTTCATTCACATCCGCTGACATGCACTTTAACACGTGCGGTTATCGAAAATCACTATTATGTTATCAATATAATCTAAAAACGTATGTATTTTTTTAGTATTAGACAACGACCTCTAAATAGATTGAAACTAAAATGCAAACTGAGACGTTGATTGCAGGTTCACAGATGATTGACCATTTTAATTCAAATTAGCCAAGGTGACCTAAATAATCATTCCGTGTAGGATGCATAAAATATTACCTGGAAACTAGTGTTCGGGCAAAATAGGGCAATTTAGTTTGTCGTATATTGTTTACATTTATAAAGCATGCATACAACCTCAAAATCGTCGGCTCAAAATCACCACTCACCGTTCTTATATTACATCACTATCATAAGGGACGATTTACACGATATTTCATTTCTTTTAATAGGTAACACGACATTTCGTGTCAAGAACTCATTAATTGTTGCTGAACATGCAGCATACGTCAAAACACTGTACCAGTGAAAGTACAAGGATAGCGTCCAGAATCTGGCGCATGCGTTGTCTTAGCAACGAAGGGTGCATATAAAATAGTGCAATACCCATGAGTTTGCTAAAATTACTATATGTATATAGGAATTCCACTAGTAATAATATAATGAAATCGTTGTCTTAGTAAATTTAATTGACAGTTACGCAGTATAATGGTCGCTTGAGAGAGTTAATAAAACTGTTAAATAAAGCCATTCCTATTATTTATTATTCCTCTTAATTTTCCTGTTAACTATCCTAAGGTTATATTTTTTGAATAAGATAAAATTGGATTATACACATTGCATATACTTAATGGCGCCTTAAATTATTATAATAGCAAAGTTGAATGACGTAATAATTGCATTTAAGTAATATTTTCAATTACCATTTCAAAATTTCACATTTTATATAAAAATGTTATGAGTTCTATGTACATCATATTTATAAAAATATAGTCTTTGCTTACACCTATCATGGAGCGTCCAATGTCAGAGAACTTCCCAATAACGCTATATTATTGTTCTAAAGTTAATGCAACAAGTCAAAGTAAAACATTTAATGAATAAAACCGCAATAAACACGTTTATGTGTTTCTAGTGTAAATTGACCGATTTTGCTATTTTTTTACAGAACCTATAAGAAAAACTGTTTTACATCAGTATTCATTTAAAATTGGAGATAAAACGAGATTCTCTGTTACTAAATAGCGATAGCGATTGCAATCCCGACTTTAATAATGAGTATTTGTATCGGGCGATCCCAAAGTTGCGACATCAGCGCTTCAGATATTGAGAGGACTACATCGAAATTTCATATATCAATTATCAATCAATCATTTCATCAGATCAATTGGTATCGCTACCGCTACTGTACGTTAAGGAAGCAGATTTTTCATGGACAAAATTTCGCAGGAACATTAATGTTTGTATATAAAGATGAATAATGATTTCGAAAATGGATATGGCCAATGTCCCATAATAATGGTTCTCCCACCTAGATCTTTTACAATAACTAAAAATAATAACACAAAAGTAACAAGAAAACGCACAACACTGTCGTCTTCCATCAAAGTCAAAAAGTAAACTGCCGTAAGCTGCCAAGTCTGCATTTGACATACCTACTAGGATTTCAATTTAATTTGTCAAAACTCAAGTCCAAAATCAAAATAATAATTAATAATATGCACTCAGTATTTTATTTTGCGAAATAAATTAATGTCCTATAAAACATAAATATTATGCCTTATAATGAATAATCGCGCTACCTCGTTGTTGCGACGGTTATCTTTAAATGAAAGTAAGCTGAAGAATTTTGGTACTACGCAGAATAATAAAGAAATATTTTTACCAAATCACATCTGTAATCAAAGGGATTTCTGCTGGACTCTAAGGTACGTAGTAATGGTAGATGTAACTTTCATTATTAAATTAATATATTATTGAGATAATCTCCTTTTGAACTAAATTAATAAAACTCTTTACCCATTACTGTCAAATAGTAATAAAAGTTTAAAAAAACCTTTGTTAGTTGAATTATAAAGTCTTTAATATGGTCTGTTTGAATTTGTCAGTAATGACATTTTTTTTATGAAACACTAAATTTTGCAGTGCTAAGCTTAAAATAATGTGTATTGATTTATTTAATTCTAATATTTTTCTACTTTAGGATATCAACATTGCTCAATAATAATTTAAATCCACCAAACAATTTAAGAGGACTTTGTGATAATATAATTAAAATGTCAGCTCCAACCACAGAATTAAACCTTCCAGATAAGCCAAAATTCATAAATAAACTAGGAAATGAAAAATCTCCATACTTATTACAGCATGCTAATAACCCTGTAAATTGGTATCCTTGGTGCCAAGAAGCTCTTGATAAAGCAAAACAACAAAATAAGCTTATTTTTCTTTCTGTTGGCTACTCTACATGTCATTGGTGCCATGTGATGGAAAAAGAATCTTTTGAAAATGAAGATATAGCTAAAATAATGAATGACAATTTCATAAATATTAAGCTTGATCGTGAAGAAAGGCCAGATCTTGATCGTCTTTACATGCTTTTTGTTATGGCCACAACAGGCTCAGGGGGCTGGCCTATGAGTGTTTTCTTGACACCAGAACTTAAACCAATTAAAGGTGGTACTTATTATCCACCTGAAGATCGCTTTGGTTATCCAGGTTTTAAAACACTCTTACGTATAATGGCAGATAAATGGAGGCAAAACAGTAAAATGTTAATGGACATGGGTGATAGTGTAATAGAACACATAAAGAATGCAACAAAACTAGATATCAATACTTCCCTACCTGGTGAAGTAACATGGATGAGGTGTGTAGAGAAATATATTTCTATGTATGAGCCTGAGTTTGGTGGATTTGGCACAGCACCAAAATTTCCCCATGTACCAGCATTCAACTTTCTCTTTCATTATTATGCTAGAGACAAATATGACCCAAAAGGTAAAGAGTGCTTAAATATGTGCCTTCACACTTTAATTAAAATGGCTAAAGGTGGTATACATGATCATATTTCTAGTGGATTTGCAAGATATTCTACTGATAACCACTGGCAAGTGCCTCATTTTGAGAAAATGTTGTATGATCAAGCTCAATTAGCTGTTGCATATACTGATGCCTTTCTTGCCACAAAAGATGAGTTCTTTGCAGATGTTGTTCGTGATATCATAAAGTATGTCAACACTGATCTAAGGCATGAGCATGGTGGTTATTACAGTGCCGAAGATGCAGACTCTTACCCATCCTTTGGTGCACAACATAAAGAAGAAGGAGCTTTCTATGTCTGGGAGTACGATGAACTAAAAAATCTACTCTCGGACAAACTAATTGCAGATAACTCATATTTGGACATATTTTGTCATTACTACAATGTGGAAGAGGATGGAAATGTTTCTCCAGATGTAGGGAACAAAGGAGAGTTTGATAATAAAAATGTCCTAATTGTATATGGAGATGAGGAAGACACAATGGAAAAATTTGGCTTGACGAAAGTGCAGTTTAGGAAGGTTATATCAACTTGTCGAGAAATACTCTATGAAGTCCAACAGAAAAGACCAAGGCCTCATTTGGATAGTAAATTGTTATGTTCTTGGAATGGCTTAATGATATCTGGGTTGGCAAGAGCTGGTCAGGGCTTAGAGGATAAGAATTATGTGGATGATGCTATAAAAACTGCAAATTTTATGAAACAGAACTTTTATTGCACAGATAGCAAAAGTCTATTACATTCTTGTTATAAGGAAGAAGATGGAAGCATCACTTGTGGGTAAGTTACAGACCAAATTATACCAATTATTTAATTAATAAATTTAAAATAATGTAAAATGTCTACAAACCTCCTTTGTAGATGTATCCTTTATGTTTTTCTTTATTTTTTGATCAGTATTTGATCAGTTAAAGAAAAAATTATCTTAATAAGACTGAATCACTCTTAGATGCATTTTTTTATATCATTTACTCAAATTATTTGAGTGAAAGCATTCTTATCAGAATAAAAGGTGTTTAATAGAAACTATTTTAATAATAAAATAGTTGATTTGAATGAATTCATGCTTTAAATAATAATATTTATATTGTGATAACTAAACCAGTTTATTCGGTAATTTTTGTTGTTGTAATTATATGTTTTAGAGAAGTGCCAATAAAAGGATTTTTGGACGATTATGCGTTCCTCATCCGCGGTTTGCTTGATTTATATGAAGCTTCTCTCGATATGGAATGGCTGAAGTGGGCAAGGGATTTGCAGCAGAAACAAAACGATTTATTCTGGGACTCTGATGTCGGTGGATACTACACATGCTCCGATGAAGATGATAGTGTTATAATAAGATTAAAAGAAGGTATTTGTAACACAAATTTAAAGAGAGTTATGTTGTCGTCAGTTATGACATTTTTAAATAATAGTTTAATGAAACATTAAATATGTATATTTTGTTTTGTCACACAATTCTACGATTACATCGCTTCATGCATATATAACGCCATTTAATGCAATTAGATACATAAGGCACGAATGAACTCTGCATTTGGTTCATTGGTTAATAATTATTTGTTGTTCCAATCAATCAAGCACCTTGCAGTACACCTGGATGAATGCTTTATTATACAGCCAATTACAATAGTTAATTTTTATTCGACTTGAAAACCAGGTTATCAGTTTGACCTATGCATGTGATATTGTTGGAATATTTTTGGGTATGAGTATTAGGCTTCCAAGCACATGTCCTAGATTTCATATCTGTATTTGTGTCCGAATAACCATGTCCCTAATTAGGTGTATTCCAGCTTAGGTAACTGATTCGATTCAGAAGGTTTTGAGATGTGGGCATCCAAGTATTTTAAGGCTATATAAAATTTAAAAAAAATACTAAATTCCTTTTTTTGGTCTCAGATTGTTGTTGTTTTTTAATGGGCAAGTGACCTTTTGGGTCTAAGGTATGCAGGGTTTCCCCTCCCCCCCTTCACCGTGTTAAATGCGCATGCTTAAGCACTAATATTTTTTTGTCTATAATGGTGTAGGTAAATAATGTGGACAGACATTTGAAGTCGATTAATTTAAAAAATTACAACATTGTAAAGATCAGGATAGTGCAGAGCCGGCAGGTAACAGTGTCGCCTGTCACAATTTGTTACGGCTTGCGGTATACGCGGACAAGAGCCCGGCGCCGGAGGGCGGCCAGAAGGAACGCGATATGGCAAAGAAATTGCTTTTGGCTTTTTCACAACGACTGAATGATACGCCTAACGCCCTGCCTGAGATGGTATCGGCGTTGATGCTGTATAATGATTCTCCAACTCAGGTATAATTAATTTTGGCAATTTCTGGATAACAGTTACATACTAATTATACAAAGAATTCTTACTGATTTTAAAATTATATATAATAAAAACGAAGATAAATCTAAATACAACTTGTTTGTACGAAATGTTTTGTATAAAGTTTTAGTTTCGTTCGTTAACCATACTTAGAGGAACGTCAATTTAAGTATTAATTATTCTATTCCAGGTGTTGATATCAGGTCGACGTTCAGACCCCCGTACGTTGGAGTTAGTGCGTGTTGTGCGTTCGCGTTTGTTGCCGGGCCGCGTTCTCGCTCTCACCGATCCCAATGAAACACCAGGTATAATGAAAATTAACAGTTAAAAAAATATTTTTAATAAAAAAAATCCTAATACATATCTAAATCATCATCGCTGAAGTGGTGTCGATCCACGGCTGTGCAATATGCACTTTTAATCTATGTGCGCATTTAATACCTTCTCGTACAGTGAAGAAAAGTCGACGGCGAATGTCAGGCACGGAAGGCTGATCACCTACTCGCCTATTAGAGAAAACGAAACATACAGAAAACTGAGGCCCAACCCTGAAAGGTTGTAGCGGCGCTGGTTTTTTTATATGCCGTGATTATAACCTGCGACATTTTAAGGAAATAGATTTTTTTCTACATTCTCTATTAATAGGAAAGACGCATTCTATAGTCTCCTAACCCAATCACAGACACTTCTACGTCTCTATGTTAAATTTTAAAGTACGTAGGTAATCAGCCGTTTGAACCAATCTGAAACAATTATTGCACGCTGGAAATCGAGCCGGTGCCCGTACTTTAAATATCTCAATTACAATTCTAATAGTGAACTTAAGAAACAGAGAACGCGCTACGAATAATATTAAAAAAACATATAAATATAAGGTTATTAAAATACATATATTGGCGTCGTCTGTTTCCAATTAATGTATTAAACATGAATGAATGTTGTATTTTTTGAAAATGTTTAAGAAGGGAGCTGAATATGGGGGGTATCTTTTGTAAAACGTTACGATGAGGGGCGAGGATTCAATTACGCGTTATTGTTAATATTATTTTGGACTTTCCAGTACTTTACACCACATAATGGCAACTTTTAGGTACTTGAACGCTCCCTAATTTATATTTTAATACATTTCATTAGCAGTGTTGAGTCGCAGTCGCAACGTGGACGTGCCTTGTGCGTACGTTTGCCGACGTTACGCGTGCTCCTTGCCTGTCACTGACGTCAAACAACTCGAGACCTTACTTGACGAACCTGCAATGCTACAATAATCCCTTTATTTTCCGGCTACATCCATATGTAAGTTAGTCATTGAAAATGACTGCTCAATATTAGTCCTTTTAAATATGAGATACCGCAGATTTCAAACAAAAATATACAACCGAGGACAAACCGAGATTGATATATGTAAAGTTTTTGGTAAAATCTGCTGTGTCAAATCAAAAGTCGTAAAAAGTTTGACACCTAGGTTTATCTCGATTTTAGAGTGGTGTTAGTATTTTGCAGCTTGTTAATTGTTAAATAAACGTTTATTAATTAGCTTTATATCTAAGGAAATTCTAGTCTATGCTACTGATAATTGTACTTTACTGTCGTTTCACGTAAATATTAACGAATAATTTAACCGTGAATATTTCGAGTAATCTATTAAATAGTCAATTATAGTATTAATGGTTTTCTTTATTTATTTGTTAATAACCTGCAATGCAGCGTCTAATTCAGTTTTGCGAACATTAATAATACTGCGAGAGATATAAATGTTATATAATAGAGCGGGTATAACACACAACCAGAACATTTTTTGTTTTCTGATGAAAATAATAAGTGTTTAGTGTCATAAAAAATGTTATTCGGTAGTCTGGAACATAGATTATAGTATAGGAGTTTTTGCAATGTCCGCTCTATACTTTTTTTTACTTTTGAATGCTAATTGGTGCTTACGTTAGTGTTAATTAATAGAAAAGATCTGTTATTAATATTTTCTTTTTTACCAGTGAAAAGATGGCCACCAAGTGGAAACGATAGGTCTGAATTTGTGATAGAATATAGTAAATTATTATGTATTGTTATTTTTAATTAAAATTAATAAAGTTATTACCACGAAAATCGACATTTTAATCCAGTAGGGTTGTTTCCTTTCCGTCACGTCGTTATTTATATATTTGGCCACATTAACGACATTGATGAAAACATACTTGACTACTATAGAATTAAAACAAAGTCTGAAATCAATTATGAAAAAGTGTATTTTTATTAAATTGTACAGAAAGTAAGTCTAGCATTATCTTTTCAAAAACTTTGCTAAAGCACTAAACAGGTCTCAAGTTTGACGGATCAGACTCACTACCTGCCTTGAATAATGGTGTAATCTTTCTTAATTTCATTTGTTCCGCAAAGACTCCATAATCGATACATCTGTTTAAAAATTACAGCCAATTCAGAGCTTATTACATCAATAACGGAAATTAAAATAACTGTTGACATACCCCATAATATACACTATACTATTTTTAAAATTTAAATTTAACACAACAATTTAATTTAACACATTTAGGCACACTTTTTTCTAGTAATGATATCACATCAACGGGTGAAGAAACCAGGGATTTGGTGGTATTCAGTGGTACATTTGTAAAAAACTTCCAAAAGTAGAAGTTACCTCGGTTCCCGGTTTTATTAAATTTCCTTTAACTTTTAACATATAATCTGTAAGTTCGTTTATTATTTTCCTAGTAGCTTTTACATTATCCTTGCTATTTTTCTTTAATATTGTGTCTGCGAAAACTAAAAAGACGTATACTTTCTATTTATTCCGTGGAGCATTCCAATTAATTTAAATGATTTCCAGTATTTCCAAACCTACACTTAAAATAATATTGCCCCCTAAGCTCTATTAGGGCGCTACCCCATACCCTTTCGTCCTTCATAATAAAATAGTAGTATATATGCGTAGTAACAAAATGGTTCACTAGATGTCGCGAACAAACAGCGATGCTCATGCGCGTGCGCCGTGCGCATGTTAGCTTTATTACGCGAATCCTAGATGTCGCTTACCCAACATAGCTGTTTGTAAAACACGCTATTGAAGTATATCGCAAATAGTACTTAACATCCGCGGAAGGATATTTCATTAAGACCTTACTTCATAGGATCATTTCTATAGTAAGTTCTTCACGCAACTTCTCACTATATGTGGGAAATTTCCAGCCATGATGAGGAGACGTGGCGCGGTACCCTGAGCGTGAGGCGGGCAGTGACGTATGTCATTAGCCTTCGATGATCGTTCACTTTTCTGCTTGCAGAAAAGCGTGGGGTACTGTCGCTGTCTGAGTGGCTTTTTAAAATATATATGTAGAATGATTTCGAAATACGAATTAGTAACGTATAATAAAGTGTAAATTAGAGGTGACAACTGACAGGGATGTGACATTTTGCATAAAAAAATCAATTTTTTATTAATCGATTATTTTTTTACATTGAATAATTGATTTTTTCCTAATTTTTTAATTAATTTCAAAATAAACACCCTAAATATTTTATTTTTCATGGTTTTTTAAATTAAAAATAAACAATAGAAATTATAAACACAATTTAACGTTTAAGAATAATCAAAATTAACTTAATCTCGTTTTGATAGATTTTTGATAAATGCGTCCTTTTCAGTAGCACATTGCAGTATTTTTGTTGTCGTTTTAATTGTATGTAGTCTTGTGCTGCTGAATAAATTTATTTTACTTTTAAATTATAGTGTTCCATTCAAACTTGAGTTTTTGTAAAATTAACAGCTTTTATCATCCTTTTGATGTTTTACAAAAAAACATCAATGTATCGAGTATATCAATACATCTTCAAAGAATCGGATTCAATGTATCGCATTGTAAACTAGTGTTGCGCACCTCATACATGAGGCACCTCAAATGTCACACTCAAAGTTGTCAAATGTCGCATCACCTCAAACACACATTTTGTACCGCTTCAAACTCGTTGAGGTATTTCAAACGCGGGCTAGGCGCTGAATGTGATTGAGGCGGTGAGTCGTATGTCATGAATGAGTTGAGATGAATTGTTTTGTCTTATTCTCCCATCCCAAGTAGGACAATGACAATAGTTAAAAATCGTGTCTGATGAGTAACTGATTAAATCGATATTATTGAATAAGTGACAGTGACTGTTCACTGTGACATATTATTGTAATTGGTTTTTGTTTGCATAAATAACTTGACTTTTTGAAGTTATACTTCTTTAGGCGCGTTATGAAAAATTGATAAGAGTGAAATTTTACGTAGCGCGCGCACCGTTACACAAAATTAACAGAATGAAGTTGCCCACGGAAGATGCTACGGCATTGGACATAATTTAAAAACAACATTCGAATAATAATAGAATTTATGTTACACTTAATGTAAGAGAATCATAATAAAAATTTAATTTTTCAAATGTAAACTGAACTTTATTGACTATAATGACTCCTTTTCCAGTCTTTGATTATTTAATTGTAATTAATTATTTGCATGCAATCAAAAACTATTTTTAATAATGCCAAAGAAGTATAACTTCTTACGCGCGTACATAAGTACACGCACCCTTTTTTATTTATTTTTTTTATGGTCGAAAGACCTGCGCCATAGAGATAATGGATTCGTACATAAAGGGACTAAGAGTACAGAACAGAATCCTCAAATGAAGTGGTACAATGTATTAACTCATTTTATAAAATGAGGTGGGACATACAAACACTTCAATTTCGTTTGTCCTACCCATCACTATTGTAAACATCGTTGTGTATCGAATATCCCTAATAGTTCGAGGTCCGGGTTTTAAAATACCAGACATAATGTCGGGAGGTGGCAGATAAAAAATCGATTATGATTGATTTTCAATTATAAAAATAATCGATTATTTTAAATTTAAAAATCGCGTAAAAAAATCGATTTTTACTTTTAAAAATAGTAGATTATTTTTTCACATCCCTAGGTGAGTCGTACTCGGTAAAAGACAGCCCTAGTCTTAGGAGTACAAGTACTTAAAAAAACTAGTTACAAATGTCAAATACTAGTTCCACCGTTGGTGGCGATTGTTGAAGGGATGTTCAATTAAACGTCTAAGGGTGGATAAGACCATACAAGAGTAAATCCTAATATTAGAATGAATCGTCTGTCAATCGATAGTAAATCAATTTTACGTTATAAATCGATACACAATTCATAATTCAATCCACCTTACAGGAAGAAAGGCACACAATATTGTCAGCCGTAAGGATTTGGATTAGTTTTAGTTTGGGAACAATGAGAGGTTAGACTGATGCTGATTGATACCTTGCCCACAATAGTTCTTAATCACGCACTAAACACTCACTATAAAATTCTAAATAGTGGACGTAACTATTATCAACTATATTTACAAAAATGTGAGGATCGGCCGAGTTAAAAGATTTTGATATCAAATTTAATGAAATAAAATTATGTATTTCGAACAGTCACCCGTCCCAGTCAGGTGCAACATGACTGAGTCCAAAACCGGAGGCTGGGAGCAAAGTTTATGTCACTGGGAGACGTGACAAGCCCGCCACGGCTCTTTTTAAAACCGACTCCCCAACGACAAGAGAAATAACTCATAATCCCGGAAGATTCTTAACAAATCCCGTCTTAGTGCGAGCCCAACAATTCTCGGGTTGGTACAGCCAACCCGGCGCCTCACAACCTCGAGATGCACTGTCTGCCGGATTAAGTTCTCCCGGTACATGCCTCCAATCCAAAGGCACAAAAGATTGCTGAATTTGACAAACCCGATTGGCCACGAAGACTTCCAGAACATGAACTGACGCTTCCGCTGCGCACGCACCGCGACACAATATGTAATTGAACTGAAACCTCCTTGGTTGGGACACATTTCACTTTAATAATAAAAAAATTGTTTTGGTAGGAGAACAATGCTTTAATTTAATTTTTTACTTTTCTTAAAGCAGTATGTAAATATAATTAATATGCCAATAAAAGTATTTTTTTTATATATATAATAGGGGGGCAAACGAGCTTGCGGGACGACCAAAAGGGGCACTCTTCGCAGCCCATCGCGTTGCCGGCCTTTGAGGGAGGAGTACACTCGCTTTTTAAACATTTGGAGGTCGTATCTCTGAGGGAAGACCCCCACCGGGAGTCGATTCCACAGTTTGCTAGTTCGCAAAAGAAAATGCCTTGTGAAACGGACTGTGGAAGACCTCCAATCATCAAGATGATGTTGGTGAAATTTAGAGGTCGTACGGCTCGTACGGTGTTGAAAAGAGGCAGGACGGATCAACCCAAACAATTCTTCCGAACACTCTCCGTAGTAAACTTTGTAAAAAAACGCAAAGAGACGCAATGTCTCTGCGTAGCGAGAGAGAATCAAGCCGATCAGTAAGACATTGGAGATTGACAATTCTTTTTCAATTTCAATTTTGTATTATGTCAGCAGTCACCTTTCCTCAGTCAACTATAATCTGTCACTTTAACTTTTCTCCGAAAAGCTTGTACCTCAAAGCAATTTTCCCCATTGAAATTTATTGAAATGCCATTCCAGCACCCGAAAAATCACTTCAGTGGTTTTTTTAAGTGTTTTTGAATAAGAAAATGATTACACATTTTAGTTCAATCAACGCCACCTTCTTTTGACCTATGGTTATAAATTAAATTTTGTAAATGTACAAAAAGAAAAAAACGCGAACTTATCAAAAATGCTTCGAAGAGAAATAAGCAAACAGACTGAGGTGGGAGAAAATGTTAGTGTGGTGTGTGATTCCACCAAATCTTGCTCTCATCTCAAAGCAAAATATCGCTGGCTCGGCTGGTCGCAACTAGAAACTCTTAATATATGGACGCTCGTATCAGGGCACCATTGTGCACAAGTGCGGAGATTAATAGTATCCACAACTGATCAGAGATGGCGCTTTATAAATTTAAAAATATAAAAACGCGGTAGCATTTGAACTTCGCTGCAACATATAAACAAAATTATTAATTAATGTCAGTATAAGGAATACAATTAAAAAAGAGACATAAAAGAATTTTTGGAATAACTGATTGGGTCGCGTTGCGATTTGGATCAGTTATAACTTATAAATTATTATAAATATTAAATAGTATAAAATCAACCGATTTTCGAACGGCGCCGTAAACACTCAACTCATATAAATGAAGAATTAAACTTTAAAGCATATTTTATAGTTTAATAGTTTCTCTTTCCTTAACTTCTTAGTTTTTACGATTATTTACTATTTAGCAATAATAATAGCATATTTATTATTTGCTAAATAATTTTGTTTATCGCTGACATTTTTAAAGTGACGTAATATTCAATATAACTTCATCGTCCGTGGGATACGGTACGCTCAATTACCTACTTCTAACACAAGTGACAACACTGGAACTGTCCATTACTGGAATAGACAACTATTTAGGTAATGTTCAGCTTTCAGTGATGCCCACTTAGGTGTTTTCCCCCCAAATTTTGAGGGAACCACGATGCTCAGGTTTTTTAGGGGGTAAATTTGATTGAGGAAATTATTAAGGGATATATAAATTTTTTTAAAGGCCCGATAAACACACACACCCAAACAACAAATATAAACTGACATTCAAAATCGAAATAACCTTTGCTCCTCAATCTAAAATTCTCAACTTAATATTTTATTTAAGTCTTATACTCAAAAGAGTTCTTATATCCAAAATGCCAAGTTCAAATTTAACTTTATTATTTTATTTAGACAATTTACCAAATCAAACAACCTTACAATAACAATATTAGTGTGGTAATCAAAAATGAAAAGCAATATTTAAATAAATAAAGACTATTGTACTAAATTTTTTATTATTTTAAATACATTTTCAATGATATAAAACTTTTCTTACCTAATGACCAGCTTATATTCATTATAACTATGGTTTTTAATGTAATTTTCGCCCATCACTTATATATAATATATAAAAAAAACAAATATTGTGTATTTTTTCACTATTTCTAGTTATGTAACCTATGGGGTATGTCCAGACATATTTTTGTTTTTCATTGGTTTTTTAGGAGTTTCAATGGCTACCATGTTAAAACAAACATACCCAGGACTTGACTTTCTTACAAAACTATGAAGGTAGTATTGATACAAACAAAAAAATATTATTTAAAGAAAAATGTTTGAACCATGAACATAGAATGCTGAACTGAACATAGGTACAGTTTTTGCCCAATTGAATCTTTTTATTATTTAAGTACAAGGAGCTGATTGATGTTATGGACATAATTATTTTGAGTATCTGAACAATCACAAGCACCAAATAGTTTACAAGGATGAGATTAAACATGTCGTCTTTTATTTACTTGAGCCGCACACATTTAAAATTTACCAGATTAAAATGTAACTTGCTTTATTTAAAACAAAAATACTAAAAATGCTTTTATTTTGTTATCAAGACTAATAAAGATTATCTACTACATTATACAATATTGAACAGATGCAGATAAAGCAGATATATGTGTTTTGCTAACATACTTTGAGAATATGCATATTATAATAAGTAATGCATATAGTATAACAAACATCAATTTTATTTATAGTAGCCAAGTAAATTGATTTTAAAACCTAACCATGTGATGCAGTTTTATTTTGGAATTTTATTTTTGATTGGATAAATTTTCTTAGTCAATTCCTTGTTCCAAAATCAACAAATTTGATATGATCATCCCCAAGCTTGGCTTTTACAGTAGTGTAACACTAATTTGCCATCTGTTCCAAAACACTCATATAGATTTTTTATTATTTGGTCTGGGGATGGTGCAAATGTTTGGTTAACATACAGGAACTGAAAAGGAATTAATAAAGTATAAAACTTAGTTAAAGTTCATGTTACACAAATTAGGTAGACAATTGGAATAATAGATGCACTTGAATAAAGATCATCAGCCTAGAATAATTATTAAGGATAACTTACTAGTTTTTCATCAGCTTCTAACTTTAAATACTTTCTCACAAATTCAACAATCCAACCAATTGGTTTCTCTGCATCTACTGCCCATTTTTTCTTTTTCATAATGGGGGCATTTCCTGTCGCTTTCAGAAGTATGTCCACTGGAAAGTTATCATGCTATTTTAACAGGATTAAAATACTAAACAGATATTAATGTATAATCAAAGGCTATTTTGTAGTTTCTATTGGTACACTTAAAATATAGGCCTGGGGTTAAATGTCGAGATGACTAGCTTAGCCTTAGCAACTCAACTAAATACTAATATAAACAAAATATTTAAGCATCATACATAGGCGCTATACCTTTAACTTTATCAGTTTTAGAAGCATCACCATTCTCTTTGGTATTTTCTACTTGAGAATCGCTCTGAGATACATCTTCAGCCTTTTCGTCGCTCATACTAACATGTATCACTTTTAATTAACTGAAAATTCTATTGTATTTAAATAAATTTACTGGATTTTGAGATATTCTTAATTACATTACAATTGTATTTATTTATTGAACATATTAAAATTTAAAAAATTATTACAACCACAGAACATCACCATATCATAGAATGATAGTACAGTAGTACTTACTATAGGTCTACCAGGATCTGATGGCAAAAAGGGAAAAAAGAAATTGACGCTAGCAATACTGGGGAAATTGGAGTAAAACGTTTTGATACTTTTTTTTCCTTATAGCGGCTGATTCTGTGTGTGATACATGCAAAATATATACAAATTTATATAATGATAATTTTTGAAAATGTGGCGAATGTGGGGTTTGAAATTTAGATGAAAACTCCAATTACTCTGTTCATGAGTTTATTAATTAATTAAGAACTTGAAAATGGTTCCAAATACTGCACATCCATAAAAAAAGTCTTCAACGTAGTATGTATAATAAACCTTTCCTCCTGCATCTCAATTAACCGATCTTGTTCTATGAACTGATTTTCAATTTTTATTACATGTCCACAAGATTTTCGCTATTCATCCCTATTTGAGAGAAAGAAACAGTGTAAAACTCATTTATCTTGTTTCTGATCAATTCTAAATCAAAACTATCCAAGTTTATTTGTAGTATAAGAAACCCCTGAAATAAACCAAAGTTTAGTATAAGTACATAATATAATACACACGAAAAATCCCATAAACCAAAGTATCAAGACGTGTCATTCCTACTAACCAGTCAACGCTTGCACATGGCTCAATATCGATGATTGTGTATGTTGATCAAGTATTCTTTGATAAACATTGAAAACAATATGTCTTGCTTGCGATCGAAGAGGTTTCTTCGACATTTTCATCACTTTTTAAAGGAAATTTGAAGCCAAACCAAAAACAATTCCTCGAAATTTCAGTTGACACATGAAATTTTTCTTTTATTGCCATATGAAAATCGCTAATTTAAAAAAAAAAATTTTGCCATCAGATTCTGGTAGACCTATACTTTATAAGTTTATAAATTATAATTGACGACTGACGTGTTGGCGGTATGATCGTATGACTTTGGGCTAAGCCTGGAGGCCTAGACAAGATGGCTTAAAAAATTTGTATGAAAAATACAGTTCCAATTTCAAATAAAAATTGATACGCCATGGCTGTGAGAATATTTAATCACCTTCCTAAAAATTATAGCTCGCTGCCATGTAATGTTTTCAAGGGGAAGGTGATTAGGTTTTTGAAGTCAAGGTGCTTTTATAGCGTGACCGAATATTTATAACATAAGTTTAACAATTACTTATAAATGACTTGACTTCTTATTTTGACATTTGTATGCCTATTTAAATATGGCTGATTGTGCGGATTTTTCTTGTTGTTCGATTTTTTATTTTGTACCACTATCTTAGCAAATAAAGGATTTATTTATTTATATATTTATTCGTGTCGACAGTCGGTCGGCCTAGGCCTAAAAGACTAGGCGGTATGGCCATGGGCTAAAACAAAAAAAAAACACAAACACTGCTATATACCGTGCTACGAAAAGACACACAGACTACAGAGAAAAAGCGCGGAAAACTTCGTTCATGATAGACGTATTTTTCACGGTGGTGAATATTTAATTTAATTTTACTAGTTAAAACGCAGAGGATAAGCTGGTAGTTTTAATTTTTGTGTTATATGTAATCTTTATATCATATTTGTGTATAGTGTCATCGTGTAGTCGGTAAGTTTTTGTAATTTCTGTAAATATTGTATGAATAAGGGATGATGGCCTTGTTGGCTTGAATCTCCCTGTGGGATCAAATGTATCTGTTGGTTCACAAGATGAATTTGACAAAATGGATACCGATTGTTCGGTATCATCTCAAACAGGTGAAGGAAGTTGTAAACGACCACGTTATTTGCGCCTTTGTCGGCAATGTACGAAAATTAAGAAAAAGAAAGGTAGTGGTTCTAGCGGTGATTACTGTCAGTGCGAAAGTTTATGCAATGTAGAAGATGAGTCAATTTTAATTAAAAAGATTACTACAAAACCTATATCTCAATCCACTTCATCACACACACACACATCACCACACTTGCAAAAAAAAAAGGGTGCGTGTACTTATGTACGCGCGTAAGAAGTTATACTTCTTTGGCATTATTAAAAATAGTTTTTGATTGCATGCAAATAATTAATTACAATTAAATAATCAAAGACTGGAAAAGGAGTCATTAAAGTCAATAAAGTTCAGTTTACATTTGAAAAATTAATTAAATAAATATTTATTATTATTCTCTTACATTAAACAAATAAAACACTATTTATCTTTAAAACATTTTTATTTCATTATACTATTTATTTTTAAGTGACTCTAATGTCTTCATCAGAATTTCGGTTTGTAATTTTAAATTAATCATTACTTGGTTGTGCATCTACGAAGTACGAGGCTTCTCCAAAACTACTTGCTTTCTGCAACAAATAAGAGAATATTAATTTAAGCTCTGTCCATGCAAAACTTAAAATTTTTTATAATTCATATTATAAATTTTTTAACACATTTATATTAATATAATTATATAAATGTGTTAATAATATAATTTGTAGCACATGCTACAGACCTGGATAGCAACTTTCTTTTATTCCATTTAGAGATAGAGATAATTTAAATATAATACCGGTGTCTTCCTTGTAGGTTTCTTTGGAGTTGTTTGGGGATTCTTGTTGTTCAGTTCGACATGATTTTCTTTAACCTTTCTTTAATCCTACAAAATAATGAAATTGTTAAGTTATGTTGTCACTGTTGTGCACACCTTTGTTTGGCTTTTTTAGTATTCAAGTTATGTCAAAACTGATTTATTACCTTGTCATTGTTGGCTTTATTTGCTTTTGGGATATCAATTGTTTCCAAAATGATTTTATTTGTAATAACCTGAAATATATAAATAACATCTATTAATTTAAGTATCATGGTGAGTGGTTCGCACTCAGGTATTAAGGTGTATTATACCCACTGTCCATTATAAGTGGGAATGGGCTCACTTCTGGCAGGACAGAGTTTCGGTACTACATGTGCAACATGGATGTTTTGAGGTATTACAATATCTCTAACTACCCTGTAGGGGAATAAAGTAATGTTGTAAGCATATGCCTATGCTTGAAAGGTTGAACCTTGAACATCACCATACATCATATTTATAATTAACATTCCTACCTCGACACCATCACAATCAAATTTATTGAAATCTACTTCAAACCATTGTGTCTCGAGAAGGTGATGGTGGCTTTGTTCCACCTCCAGTTTTTGATGTTTCACGGCGATAAGATGACAACTCTTTTTTTGTATTCAATTTAGTGCACTTCCACTGATTCATCAATTGTTTTTTGTCTCTTGTCCTTATATTTGCTAGATTAAATCTGATGTTTTGATTAAATAATGTGGTCATTTTTTTGAGATGCAGGTACTTATTAAAATGTTTACTTCTCTGTTATATCGTTCCAAGCCTTCATTTTCTCCTTATTAGTATTCGTGCTTAAATCTTTGTTCTCAATTATTGATATATAGGGTCGTAGAATATTTCTAAAAAGTTGCTGTAACAAACGCAATAAACAAAAGCAATGAATAATGGTTCATGTTTCAGTTTTAATCAACAATAATACTCGATAATACATACGGATAGTTAACCTCAATTGTATTGAAGCACTCAGGAAGGTTAGCACAGTTTTTTCACAAATATTTTATATTAATTCACAAATATTTTGTATAATGAAAATAACTAGGTATATAATTATTAATTTTAAACAATAATTAAAACTCCTATATTTGTTTAAAAGGTAAATGTCATTGTCAGATGTCAATTGTCATGGTCATTCAAAATTCTTGTTAAGCTGCTAAGCTAGAATATGCGTGAAGTTAGCTTCACGCATATTCTATTTCTTTTTACTTGTAGTTTGTCTTATTCCCATCTCGCTCGCGCACGCTATATCACACTGCCAATTTTGTGTCATAGGTGCGCGCGCAATCGTAAAATTTCACTCTCATCAATTTTTCATAACGCGCCTAAAGAAGTACAACTTCAATAATAATAATTCACATAGCACATCCTCTCGACCATCAACATCTTACACGGAAAATTCAAATACATATCTCTCAAGACTCTAACGCGGGAAATTCAAACAACACCACAGCTTCAGTAACCAATACGGACCCCTGTTCGATTGGCCGTACTGAATATGTTCCTACTGATGTTTTCCCTTATTTAATACATGTTCAACGTATTCAAAGTTCACCTGACGACGGGACCATTCTCCAATAACATTTGGCAATTTTTCAAAGCAGAACAAATTAAAGGTAACAGTTTTGAATGTCGTCGCATTTATTTGATGATACTAACTATGCAGGAGTCTCGGGGGACCTTCATTGGAACACCTCCAAGTGATTTTTGTTCCAGGAAACGCGTCTAAGTATTTTTAATAAAAATTTAAAGTTTTGTGAAATGTATTGAAATTTGTAAACAATCCGCCATTTTCTACTTTTCTATAGGTTATAAGAGATGTGACATTCACTTTAAAAAATCGTTTTTTAATTAATCGATTGTTAATAATCGTTTTTTAAGTAACGGATTTCTAACGGATATTCTGCACTGTAAGACTGTTCACACACTGTTCTAGCAAAATCCACATTCGAAATGGCCGTTTGCGAATTGCGTTTATAAAATTAATAGGGATGTGAAAAATAATCGATTTCTTTAAAAGTTAAAATCGATTTTTAATCGAAATATTCATATACTAACGTAACCTAACCGATCTAAATAATATTTGTTTTTTTGGACAGCTCCGGCGCTACGGGAAATGCAGCCCCTCCACCCTTACGTACTAAAGCACAGGCATTATGAAAGCTGTAGCGGCTGAGGCTGGTCGCCGAAGGCGACCAAAAAGCCGAGGTTGCGGAGGCTCTTCCTCCGCGCCTCCGATTATTTATATACACTCTAGGGGTAAGACAGACAAGACCACGTAGATAGTGGGGTGCTCTGATTCGGTTTTGGGTACTTTTTGGATATTAAAGTAAACACTTTATTCTAGTAAAAATTAAATAATATAGAAAGTTGCAAACAATGAAATACAAGTACTAATTAGGAAATACAGACGAGTAGGTATCGATAATTTCAAAAATTTTCGGAACCCTATAATCTATCAACACGAAATTAGGTTAATTTCAATGTTGATTATTCTATAACTTTAAATTTCAAAAATGAGGAAATAATCGATAAATAAATAAAACGATTAGTAACAATCGATAAATTAAAAAACGATTTTTTAAAGTGAACGTCACATCTCTTATAACCAATAGAAAAGTAGAAAATGGCGGATTGTTTACAAATTTCAATACATTGCACAAAACTTTAAATTTTTTTTTAAATACTTAGACGCGTTTCCTGTAGCAAAACTCACTTGGAGGTGTTCCAATGAAGGTCCCCCGACACTCCTAGATAATTAGTATCGTCAAAAAAGTGCGGTGGTATTCAACACCCAACCCCAGCGTAACAAGAATGGGTCTAGTTCGCGGAGTCCCTGTAGATTGGAGTGTAGAGGAAGTTCAACAAAATATTGTATCCGTACCTATAGGCTGCGGCAAAATACTTAAAATAAGACGTTTGAATCGCAAGGTAAAAATTTATGACTCGGTTTCTTGGAAACCCTCTGAATCAGTTGTAATAACATTTGATGGGCAAGTTTTACCAAAAAGGATTTTCATGTGCTATAATGCTCTTCCAGTAGAAATATATATTTATCCTATCATACAATGCTATAAATGCTGCCGTTATGGTCATACCAAAGTTCAATGTCGTTCTAAGATTCCAATATGTTATAACTATGGAGGTCAACATGCAGGTGTATCATGTGAGAGGTCAGATAAAGATCCTCTGTACTGTGTAATGTGTGAAGTCGAAGGGTCCCATTCAGCGATAGATAAGTCATGTCCAGAATTTGTGAGACAGACAGAAATGTTAAAGTTAAAATGGCTCAGAGCTGCATGTCTTATGCCGAAGCCAGTAAATATTTTTCTTCTGTTAAGCCTTCATACGCAGATGCATTAAGTTCAACAATTCCGGAAGTACCAAAACCCGTATATTCTTCCGCAGCGAAGTCTGTATCTCGTAATAATTCTACTAATGCCTCATATAAAAAGACAGTATTCTTAAAACCTCGCTCTCCTCCTAAACCACAACATGGTTATGATCGTGTTGCTCATAATAATGTATTAAAAGACTTCCAAGTTCCAGAGCCTAAAAATGGCAGTGCTCTGGTTGGTCACAAAAATAAAGAAAGAAAAAATCTGATGTCTTAGAAATGATACTAGCATTATTAACTACTTTAATAAACTCAAACTTACTGAAACCGTCCCACGTTGCCTCTATTAATGAAAAAATTAAATCATTTAATGTTATTAAAAATAATGGATTGCAAGATTATTCAATAGAATTGCAGGAGTGTTGTTCCAAAGAAACATGATTTAATATATATGATAAATAAACATTCTCCCGTTGTTGTTTTCAACAATTCTTCTAAAGCTTTGGCTACATGTTTAATAGAATCTGCCGATCAGATTTTTTCTGTCAAACGAAATCCGTCTAATAAGATTCCTTTTCCTCCATGGTGTGATAGAGAATGTATGGTTGCTGTAAGTAGAAGAAAGGAAGCTGAGAGAGTCTATGCTGAGGACATGTCCAATGAAAATTTAGATATTCTCAGTGAAGTTATTAGTACCACACGTAAATTCCACAGAGATAAAAAGCAGGCAGGAAAACATTTTGTACTTCTTTATCTCCTTCTACGTGCCCTTCAGAAGTTTGGACAAGTATTAAACGTTTTCGATCTCCTTTCAAAGAATCTTTATCATCGTCTTCACTTCCCCCTTTTTTAACAAATGCCTTTTTAGACTGAACATCTTGTGAAGAATCGTTTGGAATGGTTTATAGAAAACAATAATTTAATAGCCAAAAGTCAATACGGTTTTCAGAAGTCAAAATCTACAATAGACAATTTAGCTATATTAACCACAGATATTCGCATAGCTTTTTCGCGTGATGAAGATATTGTAGCTGCCTTTTTGGACATCTCTGCCGCCTATGATAATGTGAACATTGCTATTCTACAACGCAAATTATTAGAGCTACTCCTACGTTATTAATACATTTTATCATCAATTTACTATCCTGCAGATACATATCATTAATCGTGCAGTAATAGTACCGAGTTAAAGCGTACAGTTTTTAAAGGCCTTCCCCAAGGTTCGGTACTAAGCCCACTTTTATATAATATTTACACGTATGATTTAGAATTATCTATAAATTCCCATATAAATGTGTTACAATATGCAGATGATCTTCTTTTTTATTCCGTTGATATACAAAAATATAAAAGTGTGTATAACCAAACCTAACTTACCCTAACCCGGTTTTTTTCTATTATTTGTTTTGATTTTTTTTTTCTATTTTTATTATAATATACTATTTATTATATACTAACCTAACCTAACCGAACAATAATAATAATAGATTTTTGGACAGCTCCGGCGCTACGGGAAATGCTGCCCCTCCACCCTTGCGTACCAAAGCACAGGCATTTTATTCAAGCCTCCGCAGCTTTGACTTTCTACGGCTTGCATAATGCCTGTGCTTTGTTAATTGTTACAGCGGGTGGGGGCTGCTCTTCCTCCGCGCCTCCGATTTTTTATATACACTCTAGGGGTAGGGCAGACAAGACCACGTGGATAGTGGGGTGGTCTGATTCGGTTTTGGGTACTTTTTGGATATTATTAAAGTAAACACTTTATTCTAGTAAGAATTAAATAATACAGAAAGTTGCAAACATTGAAATACAAGTACTAATTAAGAAATACAAACGAATAGGTATCGATAATTTCAATGTTGATTGTTCTATAACTTTAAAATAAAAAAAGGGTGCGTGTACTTATGTACGCGCGTAAGAAGTTATACTTCTTTGGCATTATTAAAAATAGTTTTTGATTGCATGCAAATAATTAATTACAATTAAATAATCAAAGACTGGAAAAGGAGTCATTATAGTCAATTAAGTTCAGTTTACATTTGAAAAATTAAATAAATAATTATTTATTATTATTCTCTTACATTAAGTGTAACATAAATTCTATTTAGTTAAAAGTATATATTATTATATATTTAGAACATCTCTACCAAACACTAAGAAGTATGTTGTAGCTTTGGCAGTATTGCTCAATATAAAATTAATAAATTTCTTTGAAAAAATAATCAAAACTCCTTTATTTGTTTAAAAGGTAAATGACAAATGTCATTATGGTCATTCAAAATTCTTGGCATACGAACTTCACGCATATTCTATTTCTTTTTACTTGTAGATTGTCTTATTCCTATCTCGCTCGCGCACGCTATAATCACACTCCCAATTTTGTGTCACAGGTGCGCGCGCATCGTAAAATTTCACTCTCATAAATTTTTCATAACGCGCCTAAAGAAGTATAACTTCAAAAATTAGGAAATAATCGATAAATAATTGAAACGATTATTAACAATCGATTAATTAAAAACACCAATTTTTTAAAGTGAACGTCACATCTCTTATAACCAATAGAAAAGTAGAAAATGGCGGATTGTTTACAAATTTCAATACATTATACAAAACTTAAAAAAATATTAAAATACTTAGACGCATTTCCGGCAGCAAAAATCACTTGGAGTTGTTCCAATCAAGGTCCCCCGTGACTCCTGCATAATCAGCATTCATCATCATCCCCTATCATATACTATAGACACTATGGTAGTAACTAGTAAATTGTCATTCTCAAATCAGGTGAAAATTTGACAATAATAGTACATGTTCATTAAATTATTATTATTTTATTTGATGGTAATGTTAATATTAATTCAATTGACACTAATGTCTAATGCGTCAACCTACAACCTATAACCTTGCTCTTCAAGAGTAGATAGTTATAGTGAAGTTCTACTCTACCAACTGTTGGATTCGATTTCGGTAAACCAGTTGATAACTACTTTTTTATATATTACAGGTTGCAAATATAGGTCTGGCAATGTGAGTCCATGGGCAGCGGTATCCCTTAATATCAGGTGAGCCTCCTGCCCGTTTGCACCCTGTAATATTCAAAAAAAGGCAGAGTTTGAGCCTCATCCTTAATTCCCTTGTAAAATTTTATGCATTTGTACTCCTTGTCTTAAGCTTTGTATTTATTTTTCAGACTACAAAAAGTCATTTTACATTGAACTACTCTTCTTTCTTTGAAATGGATTTCTTATTGAACAAACATAGCATACATGATGACTTGATATGTGCACAAGAAAGAGTACCCATTCAAATTGATAAGCCATTGGAATCTAATGAAAAACCACCAATAGGATATAAGGGTAAGTTTTTCCAATAATTTATTAAAATTATGTCTATATAATATAACTACAATTTGTGACAAACCTCCCTTGTACCTCTATTAACAAAATAAGCAATAACCTAAGGGATTCATACTATGAAATTATTATTATAATGAATATTATTCACACTAAACCTGCATGCGGTACTTTTGTCTCAACAATTTGTTACATTTTGCCATTACTGCTATTATACATATTAAATTTAATTTGTTTTGTTAAATTATATTAGCACTGTCTTTAACTTGCCATGTAAAGACACAAGAACTATCATATTATAAAAACATGTAATTTAAAATGAAGAAATAGATATTTTATGAAAAACAAATTAATCATTTTAAAGATTAAATATAACAATTAAGTTTTATGCCAGAAGAAAATAAGACTTCATAAAGCCAAACCATATGTAGTATGTATGGATTTTATGCTATTATTTTGATATAATGTGATTGTTCCAAATAAAATTCTTATGCACTATCTAGAAATAGCTTTACGATATGATTGCATCATTTAATATTATAGCATACATCAGCACCATTAATGATAGATAGATAGAAATAATCTAACAATTGTATGATTTATGCTCCAATTACTTGCCATACCACCAACTAGCCAGTAGGGAGTAAAACTATCTTTAATATTACACCAGTATTTATCTACATTTGTATTTTCAGAGGTTGAAGGTGAATGGAATCAACAACATCATCAAGCAGAATCCACTATAATGCAGCCAGATCTTTTAGGCATTACTAAACTGTTAAGAATGGTAAATTCCACATATGACTTACTTTTGTCTAGATAATAACTGCAGAAAATTTGAAATGAGAGATGGAATCATCCACAAATTGCGTGATATAATTTGTTGTTAATAAGCATATTGCTACTAAGATTTGTACAATGTATGGACAAAGGCTTTATAGAAACAATGTGATAAAAAAAATCATTCTATAAAGTCTATACTTTTTATCTTTTTTGTGATCTATTACTATTAATTCCTACATCCAGTGTTCATCCATATATCCTAACCTATCAAGTAATATTTGTGCATTTGTTTCAATGATCATTTTTCTAACAGATTACTTATCAGACTTTTTTACCTTATTCACTTCATAATTTTTTGGGTTAAAGAAAAATCTGTTTCTTCACCATATATTCTTCCATCATACAAGTAACTTGTACTTGTACACAACATAAATTGGTGTACTCAAAAATAATATTCTCATACCTAATTTGCATTGATGTCTTTTATTTTTAGGTTGAACCTGAGCAAAACCCAGGAAACAAACTAGATTATACAAATAATGGAAAAGTCATTATTAGTAAACTCAACCCTAACATGCCTGAGTTTACATCCAAGAAAACATCATTAGTTAATTCTGACCAACTTCTGATTAAGACTGATCAAAACTGTGATATTAGTAATAATGTAGACTTAAGTAAACTCAATGATGAAGAAAAGAAAAAATTGCAAAAGAAACTAATATCTAAAATAGGAACCACACAAACCACTTGTGAGAAAACTAGACGGGTACGCAATGCTGCTATTGCGGGGATATTAAAACTAAGCACACAACCAACTGCAAATGTGAAACTTATGACACCAGATGAGTTTATGAAAAATGAAAATACTGATAGCACTGACACACCTACTAAAGAGGTTATCAAAAAATCTGTTGATATAGTCGATAAGTGGCTCAATGGAGCACCGGAAACGACAAAGAAAACTTTGTATTTAGGACCCATAATATTTAGCAAAAAATCAAAGTCGACTGAAAGCAATATGTCAATCAATACGGTCTCTAGTGAGGAATTGAAAGTCAACAATTTCTCTCCTACTAACATAGCAAATGAACTAACTGAAAAATATACAAAAAGAATAAAGCAGAAGGAGGATGCATCTATGGACATATGGTCCAAACTAGAAAGGGACCTAAAGGCGAAAGACGAAGAAATTAAAAAAAAGTCATCCAATAGCTTGTTATGATACATACTTACAACTATACTAGTTAATTTTGTGGCGTATTGTCCTATCCACATTACGATCTATTCATTTTGGCGTCAGTTAAAGACGGATTTATAGGGACTCTCGTATAAATGCATCATAAAAAATAGATTAATTAAAGACGGTCAGAAAAAACCAGAATGAATAATACTATAACCGACATACGATAAGGCCACGTTCACACGGCGATTATTTTCCCGTATACCGTATACGAGATTTTATCGAATAGAGTAGTGACAACAGAATATATATGAAAACTTAAAAATTGTTTACACGGCGTTCATACGGGAAAATCCCGTGTTCGAGAAATATATTTTACCGTAACCGTGCGAAGTTGTCACTGGAAACGCTGCGTCTCTAAACGATTTTATCGAATACGACACGCAGTGGCGCTTATGTTCATGTTGTCTCGTTCACACGACTCGCCCATTCGAGAATCGTACGCACTCTTGTGCGTTGCATCAGTCGGCTGTCAATATGGAGGACAGAATTCCAATATTGATCGAGGATTTTATTTCCTTGATCGAAAAAAAAAATCGAATCGAATGGTTGCCGTGTGAACGAGGCCTAAGCGTATGTAGTCCTCTCATAGACTCAAAATTATCTATAGTTTGCTTTAACCATTGTCAAAGAACATAGTTTCGTCTTTCGTTTTTTAACTTGAACACTAAAATTATCTCATTAAAGATTGTCTTACCTTACATTGGTAGAGTCTGTGCGGAAAGAAAACCATACTGCGATTTGAGGTCCCACCAGTGCCAAATCACTTATTATATTGACAATATTGTTACGTCATTATAGTTCGACAGTCTTGATACTTAAAATGAAATAAAATAAGTATACAATATTAGTGAATGAATTAACCTTCACTGTATCTTCTGTCTCTTTTCGAAAAGTTGGCATATGTTATCAATAAACAAATTTTTGTATTGTAAATTTTTGGTACTATTATAATGTAGCACTTAAAATAGTAGACTGCACTATCAACTGCCTTATTTTTTAGATTCTCATAACAGTGTCAGAGTAGAGACTTAGCTATAAGTTTGAGTCCCGTATGTCAAAATGTTTTGGATTTTTTTTACTAAACACTAGGTCTCGACTCTGAATCATAGACCTACTTAGAAGGCCTCTTGGATATATGTTATATTATTATAATATGACTGATATTAAATAATGTTATTATTTTTAGAAGAATTCTGTAAATAATGTATTTTATATGCTAACAATTTTATATAATAACAAGTTTTATGAAATTGTACCGTAAGTAAAATTATGATAGTAGATTTGACTAATACAAACAATTGTATTCAAATAATAATAGTTGAATATCAGTAGACTCTAAAGCCCCGTATTCATGGTAAACATTTGTTTAGCAACAGTTGCTAAACATTGTTGGTGAGCGGCGAGAATGTTGCTAGCAACTATGTTTAAATCAATACAGGTTGTCCACACGCCAGTCTGCGTTAAAATGTTGCCCGAGGAGGTAGTGTTGTTGTGTTCTCTGTATCAGATGTATAGAATCTCTAATAAAAAAAAGAGAAAAAGATGGTGGATTCGAAATTATCTTTTGCAAAGAGAAAATTTGATGAGTGACCTCAGAATGACAGATGGATCATTTTGTAACTTTACGAGAATGTCGAAAAGTGATTTCGAACATCTTCTAGAAATGATTGGTCCATCAATAGCCAAAAGGGAAACAAATATTCGTCAGCCAGTTTCACCTCAAACGAGGCTGGCTATTACATTACGGTATCTTGCAACTGGAGATTCATACAGTTCTCTTTCATACACATTCAAAGTATCAAAACAATTGATTAGCAAAATTATACCAGATGTATGTCAAGAACTAATTAACTCACTAGCAGGATATGTCAAGGTACAAGAACACTATTTGTGTAATCAAGTATTTTATTAATTAAAAAACACAAAAAAAAACAGTGTATGCTATTGCGTTGATTCATCACTGAGATAGTTAACTAAGTTTAGTATAGCCGAATCTTCTGTTTCGTCTCGTAATGCATCTAGTCTATTTGTTTCGTGTCTCTCAATTTCCCTTATTTCAGTTTCCTGAACATTATTTGGTGTTGATGATGGATGAGAAGATGCCGTTTGATATCCATATGTATTATATCGTCCCATTTTTAATTCATACAGTATATTATTAATATGGTACTTTGCCTGTGTCACGGCTTGGTCATCTTTAACACTTCTTAATTCAGCAGCAATATATTCACCATATATATCAAATGGATCCTTCTTCTCCCTTTCATCCATCTTTTTTCTAGCACTTTTCAAAACCTCTAATATTTCATTTGATTCATCTGTCTTATTTCTTTTCCTCGAAGATGTAGATGTTGTAGCATTCGGCCTTGGTGATTGAGATGGCTCTGACTCCATACCACTTTCAAGTGCATTGTTTTCATCTACCTGTAAATTATTATCTTATTATATATTTATTTATTTTTTAGGTTCCAAGTTCGGAACAAGAATGGAAACAAATAAGTCGTGAATTCGAAATACGATGGAATTTTCCACATTGCATTGGGGCCATTGATGGGAAACACGTTATGATTGTGGCGCCAAATAATTCTGGAAGTGAATACTACAATTATAAAAATCAGTTCAGCATGGTACTTATGGCAATTGCAGATGGCAATTACAACTTTATTTACGCAAATTATGGAGCTAAGGGTCGGTCGTCCGACAGTGGAATATTTCAAGAAACACCGTTTTATAATGCATTGTTAGAAAACTCACTTAAACTGCCACGGCCTGAACCAATAACACAAGGCGGAACAGAAATGCCGTATGTAATTGTAGGTGACAGTGCTTTCGCGCTAACGGAGAACATCATGAAACCATATCCTGGCATTCATGAACGTGGGAACAAAAAGCGTATATTCAATTACAGACTATCAAGAGCTAGGAGGATTATAGAAAATGTTTTTGGCATTTTATGTGTGGTGTTCCGTGTATTCACTAAACCTATTCCGTTAAAACCAGCCAATTGTGAACTCGTGGTAATTGCTTGTGTAATTTTACATAACTTCTTAAGACGTAACTCAGTTTCCAGATCCATATATACACCTCCACAAACTTTTGATTTTGAAGACTCTGAAGGTAACCTATTAGAAGGTTCTTGGCGAAGGGAACTAAGTTCGTTTCCTATGATTGATTTGCAAAGACGGGGCAGGCCTGCATCACAATCAGCTCTTTGTATTAGAGAACAGTTTGCCGATTACTTTATAACTCCAGAGGGAAGAGTTCCATGGCAAAATAATGTAGCGTAATTGTAATAATTTTACAGACAATAGTATAAAACAATTATATACAAAAACAACTTACTGTTTTATTCATAGTATCCGTTTCACCAGAAGTAGTTGCACCACATAACAAAAATTCCAATGGCTCGTAATAAATCCATTTACATTTTTCTATTGCGCCGCTGCCTGTAGTTTTTTTGCCGACATCTTTTTTTTCTCTCTAGTAAATTGAGTACGCAGTACATGTATTTTAGTTTCTACGTCTTTTTTGGGTATATTTAGGACTTGAGAAATTTCTTCGAATGCATCGTTCTTTTTGTTTCTATCTTTGTATTGTTTTATAGAACAATCCCATAATAATGGTTTTGATTGAAATAATTCTATTAATTGCATTATTTTATCATTGCTCCACACTACTGCCATGTTTATAAACTGTTGCAAACTCGTCCACACACGTCAACAATTGTCGCTAAACTGATGTTTACGCTTGTCGGGCGAGAGCTTGTCAACATGATGCTGTCAACTCTGCAACACGCAGTGTTGCCAGCAACATGTTGACAGCAACTCCGCAACACGTTGATTCAACTTTGTTGCTCAACAAATGTTTCCCATGAATACGGGGCTTAATTGTACCTATTCTCGAGATTTCATTATTTAATTTTAAATGATTTTATAAAGATGATTTATGTGAAATTCTTAAAATGGCATATTATTTAAATTGTTCATGTTAGATGAAGGTGCTGTTAATTGGTGCTAAAAAATTCATATGTTTAAGGTGAAATATATAGAAATGTTTTAACAACTTTTAGTTTTTTTTTATGATTTCATTTATAAAATTGTATTTTGACGTTTTATTAAAAATGTTATACATTTAAAAAATTATCTTAACAGTACACGGTGTATTACCTTTTCGACCGGGCACATTTTTAAATTTCAATACGAGTGAACATCTGAGTCTATCCAAACATTCTATTTGTTAATGAATGTATCCATTTTATTAAGTGCGGTGCTCCACATTAAAAGTGGTTATTACGTCCCTTTTCATCACAAACAGTAAAAAATAACATTTAACAGCTAACATTTTGTTTTTAAAAAAGTTTACTAAACCTGGAATTAGTAGGCAGTGATGCCAGCTAAAGAATAAAATAAAGTAATAAATGTTAATTCGATATATTTTTATATAATATCGTGATATTGAAATATTTGTTATTTTTGTACTAGGTCACTTGAATAAGTAAATATTTAGATTTACCTTTTTGTAGGTAAAAGATAAAAAATACGTAGCATTCTATTTTTGATTGCCCTCAAATGAGTCAAATTTGTTATTACTTCACTTATGAAAAATCAGAGTTTAGCGTAGTATATCACTGTTGGCTCTCTCTACACCCTTGACTTGACGAACTGGTAGTGAATTTAAATTTAGAATCAATTTATCATATTTTCTGCTGACGTTCATAAGGGTACTTGGTTACCTAAACAAATAAAGTTATTTTGAGTTTTACTGCAGCTTTGTTCAGTCTGACTTGAGTTTTAAAACAAATGTTTCTGTTATTTATGAGGCATTTGCCATTGATGCAACTTTCATTCAGCCAAATTTCAGCCATTTTTTTTCAGGAATATTAACCTTCGAAAGTTGAAGACCTGAGTCAGTTGAACCTAAGATGGTAGAGAGCTCTGGATCAGACTCTTGGGACTTTAAAAGAGCTTCAAAATCTTGTT